CTCACCTCTCCAAGATACCTTGAAGGACCTATCTGAGAGTTAAGACTCAAACCACTGCCGTGCGGTTCCTGAGATGCCATTTTCCAATAGGGTTGACAGGAGAATCTGGTGGTTCACCGTATCAAAAGCAGCAGACAGATCCAGCAAAATAAGTATAGAAGATTTGGAAGCCGCTCTTGCCAGTCTTAGGGCTTCAACAACTGAAAGCAAGGCAGTCTCGGTCGAATGTCCACTTCTGAAGCCAGATTGGTTGCTGTCAAGGAGGCTGTTCTGTGTGAGAAAGGCTGAGACTTGGTTGAACACAACTCGTTCAAGTGTTTTTGCAATGAAAGGTAGAAGGGAAACCGGTCTGTAGTTCTGTAAAAGAGTTGGGTTAAGAGTGGGTTTCTTACGAAGTGGGTTATACGAGCCTGTTTAAATGTTGAGGGGAAAACACCAGTGTGAAGGGATGTGTATGTTTATGCTGTCATTGAAGCAAGGATGACATGCATGTGTGTTAAGGGCGTTACAGATATTTAAATTGTAAACAACAACGTCAATTTGTAGGAACAGTTCAATTCTGTTTGGCTTAGACCCGTTGCACAAAAATATCAATAAAACATACATATCTTACAAAAACGCCTCTTTAGCGGGTGGTTTAAACGTGAAAGAGTATCATGCTAATTAGCTAGCATAGAGTACCTTACTTACTAAAGATAGCGAAATTGAAGACCGGTCCTGAAATAATCCCGTTTGAAACTGTTTATTCATGCCACAACTGCTGGCTGGGTCCCTTTCTTGTCATTTCCACACAAATATCACTGCATTGTAAACTTTGGCAGCTCCTTTTTCGCCCCATGAAATCAAATCTCTGCTGTCGCCTTGACAGTCCTTTACGTGGCAGTGATGTGCAGTTTCATTGGCTACAAGGAGGCCATCAAGTGGCCAATCAGGATCGCTGTTGTTTGACCTTTTTTTTTTTCTTTTTTTTTTTATTACATGCAAAACAACATATTTAATAACTATGTAAAATATTTCAAAAAAATAAAAAGTGGTGGAGTATAATAAAACAAAAAGTAAATGTCATTAACGTCAAATTTATTAATACGTTTTATATAAAAAAACATAATATTGTTATGTCGTGCATAAAACACATAAAAACCATGCATGTGGAACTTTCCTAATAATATTAAGTACTTATTATGTACTGTAACAGCCGACATGTTTTGTGCTGTTGACTGTAAGAAAAGTGTTGAGACAATTCAGTGTACATTTGTGTTTCTCTAAGTTCTCTTAGCTTGACCAAATGCAATAAAATAGAGCATTTTACTTCCATAAGAATTTTATTTGTTTGCAAGTCGTTTTATACATTCTGGACGTTTCAAGAGTGTCCTTTGACATCAATAACATCATTGTACGAGTTGTCTAGTCTAGTGCTTTGTCTTCTTTTTTTCTCAAGGGGTAGAATTTCAGACCGATTGCATGTCTCATTTCACACAGCCGTTAAAAACAACATTCACAGACGTTTCTAAATGAGTGGCTTTCAAACAAAAATAATCCATCAAAACCACAGACGAAAGTGACACACATTTAAATACTAAAAATGGCAGGAACAAACAAGGCAGGCATCTGGTATTCACAATTGTGGTTTTTAAATGATGAACGAAAACAACCTCCACCCATAATATACTCGGTTAATCAAAATTCCCATTAAGAAAACATTTATAATAAGGCAGTTTTGGGGTACACAGACACACACAAAAAAAACTTTACAATAAATTCCACGCAATCTTTGTCCTCCTCCTCCTTTGAAGTCCAGTTTTACTTGTTGAGATATTTGGCCACTGAATGGTAGGCATGCAGAATCTCCTTGTCTTTGGGGCAGGTGAGGTGGAACACATCCTCCTTGTATGCTTTGTCCAAGTACTTTGTGAGGCCTTTTAGCTCTGCAGGGATCTCAAAACCACGGTACTTCTTGCACACCACCTAAAAAAGTCAACAAAATATTTAAATCTATAAGCAAGATGAAGTTTAATGACCATAGAGAAGATTTCACTTCATTCCACTTATACTAAATAGCAACTGTATTATATCAGCACTACAATATACAATTTACTGAATTTGTCATCTAAATGGGAAAAAAGGACCTTGACAATGTGCAGTTTTGGAAGCAGGTTGCAGTCAGCAAGAGAGAGCGCATTTCCATCCAGGTAATGTCTTGTGGATTGGGATGAATCTGGATTCTGGTCCAGTTCATGAGGAAGAGGAGTCAACAGGTATTGATCCAACTTCATCAAACTCTTTAGAAATTTCTTCTCCAGCACTGAAAGGTACACATTAACCAACAACAATTGTTCCCAAATGCTTTAGAAGTGACAGCCTCCATCCTTTAAACATAAAATGACTTCAAGCCTTGAAGCTAATTTCTAAGGTTCACTGCCCAGATAACTTCAGAGAAGGGTGACCCTTACTGTCATTGAGCCCAGGATTGGGATTTTTGATGTATGCTGAGAATTTGTGAAAGATGTCATCTCCTGCCGTGTTCGACTCCTTATAGCGGCAGCATAACTTGGAATACCTGTAATGCAAAAATGGTGCAAAAATGTTTACTGGGTGATGCTGACATAACTCCTCGGTTTCATTTCATGTCGTAATGGGTTGAATTTATAACATTTTGGCATTTGTTGCAAACAGTAAGATATCTATTCTTTCAAGAATTCTTATATTTCAGGAACGAAATTCTTGAAACCTTTGGTCTGGTGCTAAATGAATGCATACTCACTGTGGGGGAGCAAGGGTCTCTTCCAGAAACTCTTCAATTTTGTTGGTGTCGGTACGGACCTCTTCATTATAGATGAGGAAAGGGGGCTGAGAACCTGGAGCCAAGTCCTTCAGTACCTCTGGAGCTCTAGAAATAAAGAAAAATAAATAGTCGTGAGTTTAATCATTTTCAGGTATTATACTAGTGGATGTGCTGCTAAGCCATAAATTCTAGTGTATTTCTAGTGTATTTACCTTCTCTGCTACAAATCAAAAAGGCATTAGGAGATGCCTCCTAAAAAACTGACCTATATATATCGTTTTTAGACCTGTATGTAGGTTTTTTTTGTTTTTAACTTCATACAATTTATAACAATTTTATATAAAATATAAAAAAATTAATATAAAATTTAATTTACTGTTAGCTTCCGGTTTTTGCTGCTAGCCACAACCGTTTGTAAGCAGGTAAGAAATTCCACGAAGAGGGCGGATTGCTTTACAGCAGCAACAAATGCACTTGTACAGCTGTGCACTGTAATTACCACAGTGATATATTTAGAGTATCCCAGAGGAAATTATATCCCTCAGAAGTTATTTCATAGCTCGCAAGGTGTAACCGAGTTCTAAAGTCATTTTCAGCTTGTACTAACTTTCTCTCAGAAGTTCCTTAAGAGAAATTAAAATATAGAATGAGACAACTGATCACGCACAGTAAAAGTACACAGCTATAAAACATACCAGCTCAGATCATTTGAGCATGATAAGAAATATTTGAGTTTATACTGAAATCTCTGACTTTTGGGTTTGAGACATTGTTTAGATCTCTTCTAAAACTCCAGGGGAGAGATTACTTAGGTGTCTTTCTTCTCCAGAGAAAAGTATCTCCTGTAGATCTCAAATTGCACTCATTTAATCTTGTTGTCTAGGAGAAACAACAAGATATTAAAGAGATTTCATTGTGATTTTTCTTTCCTAAGGGACAGCATCTGAGAAGAACTGTTATCGGGATGGCATCGCTCACCTCTTCATGTCCACTGTGGTGAGAGTGAAGTTGACCCCCTTCAGCCAGAGTATCATGAAGAGCCGCTGACAAAACGGGCAGTTACCAACACTTTCACCATCGTCGCTTGCCTGAAGACAACATTCAGTTAGTAAACCTTTAAATGTCCTAAAATGGAAATTATGAAACATGGAAACATAGAAACATGGAACTACTTCCTGAAAAATATGACAACATTGACATCAGTATTAAAATTTTAATTTGCAGAGAGACCAGTTCGAGGCCACCAATGTTGTTTTCAAGGGTTATGTCATAGGAATGTTTGGAAGTACAACCTTTTTGAGCAAGGGTTAGATTGCTAGAGACTAACTTTTACGTGCTATATCTTTAAGAAATCAAGTTAAGCCTAACAACAACAATTTGACGGTTTAAGCACCGACCTTGACAAATAGTTCAATCTTTGCTGCTTCAGCCATCTCTTGTCCTCCTCTACCTCCTTCTCTTTTTGCGGTGTCTCAGTTGCCCAGGATCTCAGTCGCTTTACATCAATCCACCTCAGAGCCTTCTTAGAATCCACTTCACCTCAAGTGTTCACACTTGGATTTGTCTGTCTCCTGCTTTGACCTCTGAAGTATTAAGTTGTACTGATGGTACTAAAAGCAGAACCTTTCATTCTTCCTCTCCCAACCGCAGTTTCTATCGTTTCCCTTTTAGAGCCCAAACTCCCACCACACCCCATTGGTCTCGAGTGTTCAGAATACCAGCCCACTGGCCGAACCTGTCCAACCTGTATCTTCCCTCATTCTCTGCGGCTTTAGTCATAGAAAGTTTCTCTCCAAAGTGCTTTGTTCTGTCCTACTCCCATCATTCTCCACTGCATAATCATTTTACCCAGGTTTACCCAAAAATAAAAATACTGTTATCATTTACACACCGCCATGTTGTTTCAAACACATATGATTTTGTTTTTCTTCCATTGATCGCAAAAGGAGATGTTTGACAGTATGTTCACGCTGCACTTTTCCATACAATGAAAAACAAGAATTAACATTTTGCTGAACTTTGTGTAAAAAATAATGAGTGAGTAAATGATAACAGATTTTAATATTTGGACTATTAGCTTCATGCACACTCTAAGCTTTATTCAACGGATATGGTTATTTGATTAACATTTTGTGCCAATTGAAACAATACATTAATTCCTGTATTTCTGTTCACTTTTGAAGAACCTTGACCTGCATTTTTGTTTGATGGTAAAGATAGTGAAAAAAGGGTCGGGAGAGAGTGATTTACTACAGGTATGAGGTGTGACATATAAACTCTGGCATTTAGCCGTGTATGACAAATCAGTAATTTGAATACTTATTGTTTTAATTTGTATTATATGTTGTAACCACACCAACATTTTTTGTTTTCACAGAAGAAACATGACAACTGTTTCAAAAATGCAAAAATGTTAGACACACTTTAAACTAATGTCCTTGAATTATGCCAATATTATGATTTTAATAAATTTACTAAATTTTCTGCACTGATTGTTGGGAAAATCTGTGAAACTCTGCCGAATTTAAATATGGTAAATAGCTAAAAGCCCCTATTCTGTTGTTGTTAGATGAAAGAGGCATCGAAGAGACCAAAATACTTGATTTAAACACCCATTTCAAACACAAGCTACTACATGTTAACACAGAGAATGAATGTACTGAATCACCACACGGCCTTTATTCAAAATACCATAGTCTGAGTCATTTAACTATTAGTAATGAGTTAAAACAACGTCAACTGAACCAGTTTTAATCTGGAAAAATATGATATCAACTCTTGTAAAAATTACCAGGGTAATTATAAATGCCAAAACACTATAATCATACCATCACAATAAAACTAAAATGGCAGCTTTGTATTAGCCATCACTGTCATGGAAAAAGAGATTAAACAAAAAGACAAAGTATTTAGAAAGCTTCTTACAGTGTTTAATGAAGATCTTGAATTAAACTTTTCCTCAATCGCTTTGGCGCATTTTTCGAAACAGTCTTAACATTCTCTAAACTATAAAGTTTAATTGTCACAACTGACTGCTGGAGCATCATAACCCTATTGCATGTCGGCAAAATGAAGTAACTCACCAAAACGTATAATTCAAGCTTCAAAAGCTAGTGACTAGGCCAATGCCACCAACATAAAAAGTGTTTTTGTCATCATGTGAACCACAAGGGTCAAAATGTTTTGATTTTTTTTCACCATGGAAATATTTGTTATATTACATTTTCATTTGTATTTTCATTGGGAAAAGTCAATACTGTGTAGTACACAAAATTGAAAAGTCAATATTGTAGTAAATAAATAAAATGTTATTCATACAGTACATTTGTTTTGTATTAATGCGTTACATGTAAACTGAAAACCCATCATTGCGTATTAATTTCTACACACTCTGTTGTCTTCCCCTCACACCACCACCAACACACATTCTTATCTTCCTATTGCTCTTCCACAACAAACAACTGTGAATTTTCAGATTACGTGGAACACATTTCTACAGATAAATGTACCGTACAAATATAAATGTATTATACAGTACTGCTGTAGTACATGGCTGATCAACAAGAAGCCGTGTGCGTTCAGCTGCTGTGCATATCTTAGACAATTGCTCTTACTCAAAACACATGCAGTTTGACTAAATCAAGAAGAAATTCAAATCTGATGTGAAGAAGACACTAACTGTTCAGACATCTTAACTTATTGTTTTGAGAGAAAAAAAAACTCTAATTTGAGAATTAAGCAAAAGCAATTGAGAAAAACTGTTATATATTAGAATTGTACAGCAGCACTGATAACCTTAAAAGCATTGTTTTGTGACTGAATATACACTTTAATAATGAGATGATGAGAGTTCAAGGGTCATTTTCGTGAAGAAAAAAGAAACACTGCCATCTAGTGTTAAGTTTGTGTACTTAAAGTGACCCATACTTGGAATTAGTGCTCTGCATTTAACCCATCCAAAGTGGGTGGGTGGATGGATCTCTCTCACACTCACACACACACACACACACACAGGGCAGCCATTATTTGCTGCAGCACCCAGGGAGCAGTTGGGGGTTCACCTCAATTGAGGGCACCTCAATCATGGTATTGAAGGTGGGAGAGAGCACTGTACATTCACTCCCCCCACCTACAATCCCTGCCAGTGCGAGACTCAAACCCACAACCTTTGGGTTACGAGTCCAACTCTTTAACCATTAGGCCACGACTTCCCACAACTTTTTACATTCTGAGGTCACAGCAAAAACAAAATGAAAACGTGACTTTCTTTCTTCTGTTGAGCAAAAATGAAAATATTTTGAAGAATATTTTAGCCCATGCAAAGTCAGTGGGGTCAAAAACAACATTTGAATTTCATTTTATGAACAACAACAAAAAAATTAATTTTTCAAAATAGCTTTTTTCATGTTCTACGGAAGAAATGAAGTCATACAGATTTGTAATGAGGATGACTAAATGACAACAATACTGCAAGACAGCATTGGTCAACCACTTCCCAAGAAAGAACATGTTGGTCAACCAACATTAGCATTTATAATATATATATATCAGCTGATATTTTTCAGTAGGTCTGTGATGCAATGCTGTGTCTGTAGTTTAAAGCGAGAGTAAAAGTATGTAATTAGGGTTCTGAAAAAACACGTTTTAATACTAATAACATGAATTTAGAATGTTTCATCTGTTTTCTTGTCTTTAAGTCATTTACAGAGCTTTAGACTGTTTCAAAGAAGCTTCACATAAAATAACAGAAGACTATTAATGTTGTAAAATTCTTCAATTATGAAACAATTCTTACAATCTCATTCATATGTTTTCATACAACCTGCTTTCGTATGACCAACAGTGATATCACATTGTTTTTACTCAAATTTCGTACTTTTCAGGATATTTAAAAAAAAAAATTTAAATGGGAAATTAACCATTAAGGTTTGCAACAGTCACTTTTCACTTCTCTATTTAAATAAAAGCACAGGCAGCAACAAGGAGAGGATGAACGTGTGAGCGGAAGGCGAAGAGTTACACGCACTGATACGAATCGAAAAAGCTAATGCCACGTTTCTCACTCGTTCTGCTCTTTTAGCCACAGTTTGTAGTAAAGTCAATGCTTTAAATGACATTAAATAATTTTCTCCTATTAAATTCGGATAAGACAGAGATATTACTTTAGTAGACCAAAAAACAGTACACAGAATCTCTTGGATTACAATTTACAACTAGACGGATGTATGTTACCTCCTCTACAGTCAAAAATCTGGGTGTTATATTAGACAGCACCTTGTCTTTTGAAAATCATATTTCCCATGCTATAAAAACAGCATTCTTCCATCTTAGAAACATTGCCAAGCTACGAAACATGTTACCTGTTTCTGATGCAGAAAAGCTAGTTTATGCATTCATGACCTCTAGACTGGACTATTGTAATGCACTGCTAGGTGGTTGTCCTGCATCTTCAATAAACAAGCTACAGGTAGTCCAAAATGCAGCGGCTAGAGTCCTTACCAGGTCAAGAAAATATGATCATATTACCCCAATTTTACAGTCTCTGCACTGGCTACCTATTAAGTTCCGTATCAGTTACAAAATATTATTACTTACCTACAAGGCCCTTAATGGTTTAACTCCTGCATACATAACTTGTCTTCTACCACGCTACAATCCATCACGCTCCCTAAGGTCGCAAAACTCTGGACTTTTGGTAGTACCTAGGATAGCAAAGTCCACTAAAGGAGGTAGAGCTTTTTCGCATTTGGCTCCCAAACTCTGGAATAGCCTTCCTGATACTGTTCGTGGTTCAGACACACTCTCTCGGTTTAAATCTAGATTAAAGATGCATCTCTTTGGCCAGGCATTCAAATAATGTCTCTCATAATCTTGGACTGCAGTTATATCTGATCAAATGCCTATTATTATTCTTTAGCTTGGGTTAAACAAATTAATGTTGCTTGATTGGAACAGCAGCTACGCTTATGTCTATTAGTTTCTCCGTTTTTGTCGGTAACTAGGATTTACACAAGCTTCAGTCTGGATCCAGAACACCTGAGAAGCGATTTAGCATATGCTAAATGCAAAATAAAACTCAATACCCATATCAAACTTTTTTTTTCTTTGCAGTGAATAAGTTTAGATTGAATTGATATACAATAACACATGATAAAAGTTTTAAACCAAGAACTTCATCTGATAAAAAAAAAGAAAAGAGAAACAAGAAGTGACTGCCAATGGAAAAGTTTTAATTGCTACCTAATGATATTGTATGTGTTGAGCAATAAATGATTAAATATGGCTTTCATTTACATTGCATGAGCATGCATAATAAACACACCAAAAAGATAAGGCACATGACCTCCACAGAGAGGCTTTCAAACTGGCAGCAAATTTCATCTATCACCCTGATAAAAAGATATTTCGTCGCTCCCGCGACCTGCCCGGTGAACTCGGGTGCAGCAAACGGGTACCAGTGTTTGGGTTGCGCAAAATCACTACCTTGCAGATCGTTCGTTTTAAAATCGCCTGAAAATGGGAAGAAGGTTTGGTGTGTCGCAGCGCTGATTCCGTTGAAATGGGCTTTGTTAAAAAGCAGGCTTGGATCCTGAAGCATGCCGTGCGCGAACTGCAAAGACGCACCGCCAAGTCCATCCAGGCCCGTCGCTTGAGGGTACATGGCCCTGTTGACCTCGTAGGGTCTGCA